AAAACTCTTTCTTCTTCTTTTCTTCTTCTCCAACGTGCAGGGCAAAGGTAAGGTTTTCTAAATTGTTGGTTATTTGTTAAATTAAAGATTAGGTTTTGATCATTAGATGATAACTAAGCTTAAGGAAATCTTAAGTTGTCTTATAATCAAAAGATGAAGAAGTTATAAGAGATTAAAGAAAATGAGTTTTTATATGAAATCATGGAAAAGAGTTGATAAGTTGAATTTAAAGTTAAATTTGACTTGTCATCATCCTAATTAAGGAATATGAAGTGTTAGAATTGTATTTAGAACATATTAAAATTTGAGTATGATTCTTGAATTTCATATGAAGGATAGGATTTTGAAGTTATAGATGATTTTCATGGATATAAGTTGGTTTAAGTGATGGTAGTTGAATTTAATGACATGATAGGGGTTTAAAATAGAAGAATTAAGTGAAGAATTGATGATTTTCGGAGTTAAAATACCAATTCTGGTTAGAGGGAACCGATACCCTATGAAGGGAATCGATTCCTCCTCTTGGACGAAATTTTTCCAGAATGTCCAGGGGGTATCGATTCCCCTGGGGGGGGGAATCGATTCCCCCCTAAAGGAAAAATGAAATTAGGTTCAATAATCTGGCTTAAGTTGTTAACATCAAGTTTAAGGTTTAGGATTCTGATAGTTGTTTTGAAATGTTATATTTATGTAGATATTGAGCCTAAACAAGTTCTGGAATAATCAAAGGATTAGAATTTATTCAAATCAAACAAGGCTAAGGTGAGTGCAATTTTTATTGTACTTATATTATTGAACGAACATTGGCTTGCGATGAGCCAGTGATGGAGTTACTACGGTAAGAAGTGACTCCTAAATTGTTATTTGATTTCATGATTTTTATATGTGCATGAATACATGAAATGTGTATAGATTATTATAAATGTTACATGATATACATGCATACATGATTATGCTATGAGATATGACCATGTGAAATGAGAAAAACTATGTGAATATATGAAATGACATATGAATATGCAAAATGTGATACATGTGATATGATATGAAATACATGGTTACACATACATGTGGTATGTGACAGAAGAGAAAGAACAAGTGATGAGAAATGTATTCATCATAAATGCCCATAGTATATGATACGAGAGCTATAGGTATAGTTGGCATGCCAAGAGTCGAGGGTTCTGTAGTTCTTCGGGACGTAGTCCTTCGGGACGTAGTGGTCCTACGGGGCATATATAGCAGTCCTTCGGGACGAATACTGAACTAATGTTCGATGCCCCATGAGGGAATTTATACGAGCTGTGCTGACAGCATTTGTGCACAACCTCAATGAACTCACATACCTCTATTCTCAATAATATACATGGGCAATACAATTGAAAGATAAATTAAAGTGAAAGTGGCAAAAGAAGGTAAGTGTTACATGTGCTTGACATGCTTATATATGTTATCATGTGATAGATACATGCATGTTGAAATGTCATGATCAAATGATAAGAATGCACATTCATGAATTTGTTGTTAAATATTTATTTATTGCCTCACTAAGTCTATGACTTAGCGTGTAAGTGATTTACACGTAGGTACCAAGAAACGTGAAGAGCAAGAGTAGAAGTAGCAAGGACAGTATTATTACTTGAAGATCATATCAGAAGTAATCAACAAGTATGTATTTTGGCGTGTATAGAGTGTTGGCATGTAATAAGTCGTTAATTATGAATACTCTGATCAAACTTGTATTTTGTGGTCTCTCTGATGTAAATTTAAAGTATTTTGTTTTAAACAAAGTTTTAAATTACCCGGGGTATTTTCTTTAAGTGTCCAGATTTGAAAAGTCAATGTGACACCTCGGACTCGTATTCGGGTCGGGTACGGGTTGGGGTGTTACACGGAAACTCAAATTCATATACCTTGAATACTTGTGAAAGTTGGTATACGGGATCAACATAATTTTTGTAGTCCAAATGCGAATGTGAGCAAGCTACAATGACATGAGATCATGGATATTTGAGTGATTGAAAGAAACCACAATCGCACCACCTCTCATGCATATTAACTCTGAAAGAGTTAGCTTCAATCCCTTGCAACGGACGTGGCATTTCGGTTACACGAAACAATTCACGGGTGTAAGAAAAATTTGTATCCAACATCTCATTTGATGCAACCATTTTTTTCTGTAAATCAGCTACTAGTCTTGGGTGGTAAATATGAAAGTTTTGCATCCAAGTAAGAGCTTGTCCACCGAGCTTTGCAAAGAGTTGACCCAAACGAAAATAAGTCGTTTTGACCAATGTCGTGACTGGTAAATGACACGCCCCCTTTAAGGTTGAATTTATTGCTTCAGCCAAGTTTGTTGTCATATGACCATAGCGATACCCCCCATCATACGCATTTGTCCACATTTCTTTGCTGATGTCCATAATGTACTCGCACCCCTTCTTATTTTTGCCAAACAACTCTTGTAGCATCGACTCATACCTTTGAGGTAAGAGTTCGTAACCTAAGCCATTAGGAATATGTAATAGTTAATATGAAGTATAAATAAGTAATACGAAAATGATAGAAAAATTGGGGAAAAGTAACATACCAATCCGCACGACTAATTGACGTTCATCGTTCTTCTTGTATTTTCCGTAATAGTTTGCAGCAATATGACGGACACAATAACGATGTTGAACATGTGGAGGTCTATACATTGTACCCAAAGAGTCCATTGCTGCTTTTATCCCAGCTCCTCGGTCTGAAATAATGCATACTCGTTCCCTGGTGACAACATGTAAACGTAAATTTTTAAGGAAAAAAGCCCAAGACTCAGTGTCTTCTCCTTGAACGAGGGCAAACGCAGCGGGAAGAATATTGTGGTTTCCATCTTGGACCACAACCAATAATAAAACTTGCTTGTATTTCTCATACAATAAAGTACCATCAATTTGGACAACTGGTTTACAATACTTGACTGCATTAATACACTGAGGGTAAGTCCAAAAGACACGGTAGAATTGGCAGCGATCACAAACCACTCGATCATTCACGTAATGGTGTTGAGTTTCGAACTCAACAATTGTCTCGAGATTGAGTCTTTGCACAACATGAAACCAACTGAGCAGCTCGTTGTATGATGAATCTCATTCTCCATGAAGTTTGCAAATGGCATTCTGTTTTGCCAACCAAGATTTTTTATATGAGACGGTGTACCCATATTGTGACTGTATAACATAAATCAACACTGCAACAACTATATGAGAGCTTTGCTTCACAATGGGCATGATTGCTTGGCAAATAATGTTGGAGTCCAAGTTGGGATGATCCTGGTTTATACCTCTTGCACAACACGTATGAGGACCGTTGTATCTGGTTAGTTCCCATAAGTTGTTCTTCGGGATGCGCCTTTCACACGTGGTAACTGAATCAGCAAAATAAAGGTAAAGCGCGTCCCCGGGGATACGCCTTTCACACGTGGCATCCAACTCAGTGTAAAACCAGGTAAAGCGCGTCCCCGGGGATACGCCTTTCGCCACCTCAGCCGAAAGGGTGCCACTTCGGGAAATATAAAACAAACGGTGCTAAAAAGGGAGATATTCGATTAAAGGGTGTCAGTTTAGTCAAATCGCCAGAAAACCCCACCTGTTTGTCTCTACTGTTTTCCCATAAATCATCAGCCAATTCTTTCATGGTTTCCCATAGATGATCATCATGGTTTTATATATTTTAGGGTTCACATAATGACAGAATTAATCTACGACGTTTCATGTTTCAGTCAAAATAACATATATTAGATAGAATCTATTAGTTAACTAATGGTCAACATGTGTTATTGATGTGATATTTTCACATATGTTTAATTGGTGACATAACACGTCATATCATCACTTTAGTGATGTCGCATATAACATCATCATTTTAGATGATGTGACATTTTATTATTTTGGATGGTATAACATATATCACATCATCAATTGAATACAAGTGAAAATATCACGTCAACAATATATTTTGACATCAACTAATAATTTTTATCTAATAGGGTATATTTTAACTAAAATACTCAAAAAAATAAAGAGATCATTTGTGAATAATTTTGTCATTATGTCTTTAGGGTTTAGCTATTTTCATTACCAAAATTTTTGACTTGTGCTTTGCATATCAAAGCTTTCTGCAAAATTGACAATACATAAGCTTTGTATGATAAGAACTCATCACTTGTTCTTCACCACAAGGAGTCAACTAATGGATCAAAACGTATCCTTTGCTTTGAAGATGCATTGAATGATAAATCCCTTAATTTGCTTTGATTCAGAAACATAGTTTACCATCAACTTTCATCGGACCCTAACTTTTGGCTTCACTTTTAACCCAATTAGAGTACAGTCATGATTTTGATTCTTTTTTGGTGGCCCTGTGTGTTCTTTTATGTGTGTTCCATACCATTGAGCACTACTAACACAGTTAAACTTTACTATGAAAGTAAAATTTTATTGAGAGCGATGGGGCATTAATGCAGACAAAATTGATTTCTCATCCTGTAGGTCAAAGTATGGAAGCATACTACAATGGTTTATTGGTGGGAAAAAAAAAAACAATTTCATTTATGCTTGGTTTTGCCATTAAAGTTTGTGAATCATATACCGGGTTGATTCAGGTGATAGGTAGTTTGATATCATTTAAGTAAGATATCGAGTTCGTGTCCTCGCATATATGCAGAAAATCCCTGTTGAGATATTTACTCACCAAAACCAGATGTGCGACGCATGTCGATCTGGATTAGTCAAGACAAAACTTTGAAACATAGAGGACAACCAAATTTAATAAAAAAAAAAATAAAACCGGTAAAGAAAGAAAATTGCATTTGGAATGAATTTGGTGTTAATTTGCATTTAGCCAACCTTGAGTGGTGGTGTGCGTACCCAACCCCAGTCAAATTCTAACCCTAAATGTCACCACTGTTGACATTTATTTAAAGCCATAGGAACTGGTTAACACCAGCTGGGGTTGTTCTATACATATTGTTGAAAGCTTGGGTTTGTTTTTTGGATGAGAACCGAGACAAATCAGGAAACTGTGCTGCAGAAAGACAAGAAATATAATGGTTGGGGAGTTGACACAGTACACTGCTTGTTCTACATTTATAAACCCACTACTACCTTGTACAAGTTGGTCTGGTTTTAGACAAGCTTCTTTCAAGACTCTCTAAAACTTCTTAAAGCTCCGACCAAAACAATTCAATCGATACCACTTTCTTAGAACAACAAAGAGATCTGTTTGAAATAGCCACTGCTCATCTACCATGAAGAGACCACTTGGCAGCTCGGATTCTTTTGGTGCTTTCATGTCCATCTGTCCAACTACAGGTCCAATAAAACAATCCCAATTTCGTACTTCCATTTAATTTTCTTGGGATTTACTACTTATACGTGAAACCGAGTTGTAATTAAAGTTGTTTGTTTCGGTCTGCAGATGAACATAGTCCGAGAAACAACCATATCTACAGCGGGAAGTTCCGGTCGATGTTCGACGGATACGACGAAGAAGTGTGCCTGGGAGAATCGGGGCATGTTTCCGAAAAGAAGCGGAGATTAAGTGTGGATCAAGTCAAGGCCCTGGAGAAGAATTTCGAGGCCGAAAACAAGCTGGAACCTGAGAGGAAAGTGAAACTAGCTCAAGAGCTGGGGTTGCAACCGAGACAAGTTGCTGTCTGGTTCCAGAACCGGCGTGCTAGGTGGAAGACCAAGCAATTGGAAAGAGACTACGGGCTTCTCAAAACCAGTTATGATACTCTCAAGGCTGATTATGAAGCTCTCCAGCTTGACAATGAAGCTCTTCTCAAGGAGGTAAATATTAACAAATTATAGCATTTCACTAGAGTTCTCGGGGTCAAGCAGGACGTTGGAGGAGTGATTGAGCGACTGAAAGTCTTTCGAACAGATAATATATTATAATTGTGTTAATTGTTATGCAGATAAGAGAGTTGCAGGCGAAGCAGAGTGGGGTGGACACTGATAATAAAACACTGGAACAAAGTGAACCCTCTTTGGCTACTTCATCAGAGCCTGCAGATCTCAACGGCAATGGATCAGTTGGCTCGAAAGACGGGTCATCTGACAGTGACTCGAGTGCTATCTTGAATGAAGACATCATCATCAACGACAGCAATAGCCCCAACAACGCGGCTGTTTCTTCACTGTTTATTTCATCAACAACATCTTCTTCTTCACCATCATCCATGGATTGCTTCAATCTCCCCAAAACAACCTTTCAACCCCACCAGTATGTGAAGATGGAAGAACACTTCTTCAGTGAAGATGATGAAGCTTGCAATTTCTTTTCGGATGAGCAAGCTCCCAGTCTTCATTGGTATTGTCCTGATCCTGAACAGTGGACCTAAAGGCAAAAAATCCAACATGTATGTAATTATGGGACCAAACCTAATTCAAGGAAGCAAGGCAAGAAAAGGCAAAAACGGGAGTTAAGCTACTACTAAGACCGCGATTTCCAGTTTAAAAAGAAAAAGGAATTCGGAGAAGAAGAAGAAAAGGCAAAAATTTTCTCTTGTGCTGTAAATGGAAAATTCTCCGTAATCCATTGGTGGAAAGTGAAACTTCTTTATGGACAGAAGTTGAACCAAAATAATATATAGTAAATAAACATTAATCATCATAATTTTTCCTTTGCTTTTTTTTCTTTTCCTTTTTCTGTTTCTTGTTTCCATGTGCAAAAACCAGAAAATGTCAAAAATAGAAGTATAATCCAATCATAATTAAGACATGATTTTCACCTGGTGGTCAATGTGGAAATAGTTTCACCAACGAAATAGATCAAGCTTTATTGAGGTGTTAGGTAGCGTCACTGGGGGGAAATATGTCGCGGAGATCCGGTTACCAAAGAACTGGGCTCGTCTCTGGTTAGGCTCTTTTGAAACGGTGGTTGATGCAGCCTTGGCTTACGACAAAGCGACCTATAAAGTGAGACTGTAAAAGGTGACTTGAAATTGTGAAGAGGATTCAATCTCTGGGATCCCCACTTCAAACATGGCAGCTTGCAATTGTGGAGAGAATTCAATCTCTTGGATCCCATCGCCATCTCCCTCCCGTCAAAATACACTAGTGACGCTGTTGGAGTGGATAAAAGTTCGGAGTCACCCTTACAATTAGTTTTCTGGTAGTGGTACTAATATCTTTGGAAGTTGAATCGATAGAGAGACTGCCATAATATGTCCATTGTTCTTCTCCAACAATTTTGCCATTTTGGCATTTCACGTAAACCAGGTTAATCTCCAGAATTGCTTTTTGTGTGTTGTGTGTTATCTTCTAATGAAAAGTAAAGTATTAATTACTTGCCCATTTTCTCTATAGCTTATGATGACTTTCATGTCCAAAGCAAGAAATGAAGAAAGTTTAAATTACTTACCTTGCAACAGTCTCGATAAAAATAACAACACCCAACATAAGCTGCAAATAAAGTAAGAAAGATGTGTTAGCTGATTTCACTCATGAGTTATAGAAAACATTTCAAACAACAAATATACTTACTACAGGAAGATTAAGTTCAGAATATGATCAGACATGGAAAGGACATCGGTAGCATGGTATTCATCACTCATTCTTTATTTAGTTTCATCACTCATTCCTTATTTAGTTTCAGAATATGATTTTGAAACAGATGATAGTTGAAAACCAAGTAATACGTGATGACCAAATAGGTAGTTTACTTTACAAATAATTAAAACAACGGCCAGTTAGAATCAAGCAGTCTTTCCCCTACAGTCCAATCGGAACCACCGGCGGATGCACTCATGTTGAGATGGTGAGGGTGGACATTAAAATCTGAATTTTGTTTGATTAGTCATTTGTTTTATAAATGATGTTTACTCTAAAATTTTATTATGTTCACTCTAAAATATGATTTTTTTTCAATTAATAACATATTTATTTATATTTTTTTCTCTAAAATTTTATTTATGCTATTTTTTTAAAATTTTATACCGTTAACATGTACGTGCCTACCGTTAAATATATTTTTTATCCACCACTGATGGGAACCATCCTTTTCCTCTCAGAAAAACACAAGTCGTGACCGTTTTCACCGTCGGATTTCATACCCACAGTCAGTGTTCCCGGTAGCCGACAACTGATCCACTTGGAAATGGTATAGAAGGCAATAAGGGTCGACGGCGTAAAAAGGAGGAGGAACCATGGTGTTCCAGATTCTTTCACTTTTATCTGAGCTTTTAAAGTCTTATCATACCGTCCTTAAGACCAAACAACTTCATGCTTTAATCTCAAAAACCCATCTGTCCCTTGACCCATTCTTCGCAACTAAACTTATCAGGTTTTACGCCTTAAACGATGATCTCTGCTCTGCCCGTAACCTATTCGACGAAGCTCCTCAAAGAAGTGTTTTCCTTTGGAATTCTATTATTAGAGCTTATGCACAAGCCCATCACTTCAACGACGCCTTATCGTTGTTTAATAAGATGCTTGCATCGAAAACAAAACCCGATAATTTTACTTACGCCTCTGTGATACGTGCCTGTTGTGATAACGTTGATTTGGATGGGATGAAACCTGTTCATGCAATGGTTATTCTATCGGGATTGGGATTGGATTCCATCTGTGGTAGTGCACTTGTGATTGGGTATTCAAAGTTGTGCCTAGTTAATGAAGCATACAAGGTTTTCCATAAGATTCCCGAGAAAGATTTGGCTTTGTGGAATGCCATGGTTTCGGGGTACAAGAATTGTGGCCTCTTAAACAAAGGGTTGGAGTTGTTTAGTTGGATGAGATATATGGGTCAGCAGCCGGATGGGTATACTTTGGTTGCCCTGATATCAGGGATAATGGATTCCCGCTTGTTATGTGTGGGTCGAGGAATCCATGGTTTTTGTTTGAAAGCTGGTTTTGATTGTACTGTTCATGTCGGCAGTTCGCTTGTAAGTTTGTATTCGAGGTTTAAGTGCATGGATTCGGCAGAAACCGTGTTCTGTAGTTTGCTTCAATTAGATTTAGTGGCATGGTCTTCTTTGATAACCGGATATTCTCAATGTGGGGATTATGGGAAAGCATTCTTCTACTTTAGGAAACTGAACATGGAGAAAGGTAAAACAATAGATCCCATATTGGTCTCTGTTGTACTGGCGTCCATTGCTCAATCGGCAAATGTTAGACTTGGTATTGAGATACATGGATATGTTGTTCGACATGGACTTGAATCCAATGTCTTGGTTTCCTCTGCTCTTATAGACATGTATTGTAAGTGTGGATCTGTGAACTTGGGGATTCGAATTTTCGAGATCATGCCGGAAAGAAATGTAGTATCTTTTAATTCTCTTATGTTAGGTTTGGGGTTAAATGGCCTTGCTTCCCAGGCATTTAAGGTTTTTGATGAAATGCTAAGAATCAACCTAAAACCTGATGATTCCACATTCTCTGCCCTTCTTTCTGCTTGTTGTCATGCCGGCCTCTTTGATGATGGTTTCAGAGTTTTTAGGAGGATGATAACTGAGTTTTGCATCCAACCTAAAATTGAGCATCATGTTCACTTGGCAAAGCTTCTTGGTATGGTTGGACAAATTGAAGAGGCATATAACTTAATCTTGTGCTTGCCAAAACCAATTCACTCGGGTATTTTGGGAGCACTGCTTTCGTGCTGTGAAGTTCATGGAAATTTTGAGCTGGCAGAAGCTTTATCCTTGCAACTATTGGGAAATGAATCCCAAAAAAGTGCTGACAAAGTTATGCTTTCCAACATTTATGCTGTTCATGGGAGGTGGGATGCTGTACAGAAGTTGAGAGATATAACAGAGAGAAAACTGTTAGGGCTTAGTTGGATTGAAAGTGGTAAAACTTGAGTATGATATTAAGTTGGGATCCCTGATAGAATTTCAGGAGAAGGGAAGCCACAAGTGTTGGTAGGAACTTGTGAAGGCAATTTTTTAACATGATTGCTGTTCTATTTAGCTGCCATCAACTCCTTGGGCTGCTCTCTCTTTGACTGCAAGTAGTGATTAACCGATCATCGACCCTTTCGCCACGATTTATGTGCTGATATTTACGGATTATTTCAGCATGCGCCACGAATTCGGTGACAGAAAGAGATTGATCTTCACACTTCTCATATGTGAATGGTATGTTTGCAATGTTCCACCCTGTATATTATCAGATAGGGAATGGAATTTATTGTGGAATTCATGCTATCCTTCGAGAGAGTTATACCATGGTCATTTCTGGTACCTGTGAGTGACTGTTAATTGATCCCTGTTTTTCGGTAGCTATATTTGGCCATTATACGATCATATTCGTAAATTAAACATATAATTAAAATAATCTCTTATAATCATATTAGAACAAAGATAAATATAAACATATTTAATCACATCAACAAACAAACTACAGAAAGAAATCAAAATACTGAAAGATCACCTACAAACCGAGTACTGAAACTAAGTCCAAGGGATAGCATTGATTTTTCATTCCAAGTATTCGATTTTTCTTAGATTCTTAATATAACCACAACCTCGTCTTTATCTAATTTACTCGTATGAAAGATAAAGCATTGATTTTAATGGAATACCCAGCAACCTCGTATTTTCCCCCACAAAACCAACCATTTTTTTCTTTTAGATTTCTTCTTTTTAAAATACCTTCCCCTAATTTAGATCATTTCTATCCCATTAATTATGATTTAGATTCGGTCCCCAATTTTTTTTTTTTTTTTTTGCTCATCATTGTCTTCCAGATTAATGCAACCATTTTTGTTGTTAAACTTACTCGTTTTCAAAGCTTTTGTTGTTTTATTCGTATGTGTTATTAGGGAAATGGATTCAGTATTATATCAATCACCAAATCTTTAGAACAATTTGGCAATGGAGCTTTCCCATCTTCCTTGATTTTACTTTTTGTTCAATGATCATCAATGTCTGAGACTGTTATTCTTTTTAAAGAAATGGAGGGGCCATCCTTTGCCAGTGAAGATAACTCTACTGAAATGGTGTATGGGAAAGTTGAAGATGTTCTCGCAGAACTGAAGAACAAGGAGAGGTGCATTGAATCCTTGAAAATCCAACTTGGACAAGCTAAAGAATTGGAAACGGAATTGGCCGAGAAAGAAGCTTCCTTCCATGAATTGAAGAAGGAGTTGATCGAGTTGAAATCCTTTGAATCCGAAGCAATAGATTTGTTGTCGCAGGGGAAGAAGATAATCCATGAATTGGAAGAAGAAATCGAGAGGAGAAAAGAATCCGAGAAGAAGATATACGATTCGTTTGTTCCTCAATCGGAAGAGCACAAGCAAACCCAGATTTCCCTCGAGAAATCCAAGCAGGAAATCAAGTTCCTCCTCCAGAACCTGGACAAATCCCAAGATTCATCCGAGGTTGCATCACAGAGTTCCATGGTGGATGAATTAACAGAAGATAACTTGGCCCGTGTATTACAGGAGGAGTTGGAGTCATTAAAGAGTCAACTCAAATCCACCATTGAAGCCGAAGAAAACAAGAAGAAGTCCATGGATGATTTAGCCATAGCATTGAAGGAAGTGAAAGATAAAGCAGAGGAAACCAACGAGACGCTCCTTTTGACAACCATGGAGCTCTAGAAAAGAAAAGGGAAAGTCCAGAACTTGAAGCTGCAGTTGAGGAACATGGAGGAGAAGTACATGGAAGCAAAGAAAGAAGCCAACATAT